TATATATCACTATTGAACAAACAGTGCACTCGTTATGCATCATTACCTGATGTCAATAGAGAGAAGATTGTGTATTAAATAGTTTCTTGTTCTACTACTCCTTTTCACCCTCTCTTATAAACCAAGATCAAACAATACGACTATAAGGTCTCGTACAAATTTTCCAAGATCGTATGAAAATGGTATTGTACAGTTCTTGTATATTTTGTTCATAGTCAATTGTCATGATACACAGAAGAGATGGGAGAGGAAGGGAATATCACCCCTCTGTCATTTTTCGTCTATCTTGAAGAAATATTCATTTTAAATAAACGCTTATCTTTTATTATTTTACATACCGTTGAGTTTTATGAATAAAAGAAAACAAATTTGTATTTAATCGAATTAATAAAATCGTCTTTAGTGTGCTTTTTAATTAGATAAACATAAAAAAGACGCATTTTCAATTATAAAAGTTATAGCATTTAAATCAGAACATATTTAATCGCTTAAACAATCCTATAGTATGATATTAGTACGATCATACAGCGTGAATCTTACGGAATCCGATGGTCTAAGAGATCTTATATGTTCTTTGCAAGATTTTCTATTTGAGGAACTTTGTAATAAGCCTAATTTTGATGTATTTATTTACTAATCTAATATTTTTTGTTTTGTTTATTGTTTAGGAGCAAATATAGGTAGGCCAATTGAATGTACGTGATAGTTTAAACTAATTCATATTAAAATAATTGAATAATTTAAATTAAAAAAGTTTCTTTCAATATAGGAACATCAATAACAAATACTCTAGTTGCATTTAGTCAAATAGGAAATCGAAATGAATTTTCTCGTAGTTTTTCATCAGGCATTCTTATGGATGTATTTAATTATTTAACAACACTTATACTTTTACCTATTGAAATTTTTATTGATCGCATAACGACAATGTCAGATATTTTTCATCGTTAGTTTTTTCATTTGATTACAAATGATAATATTGTTTAATTAGTTTAAGCTTTTGTAGGTGGTGGTTATTTAGCTCGTGCAAGTGGTGCTATTGCTGCAACAATTCCTGAAAAACAAGGAATAAATATTCAATTACTTAAAGTAATTACAAAACCTTTAACAAAATTGATAATACAAATCGATGAAACTATGATAACAAGTAATAAAACACAACAAACAATTGGTAAAATTTATTGTTATAATGAAACAATTAAATGTAAATATTTATTTCGATCAACGATTGAAAAATTTGGTGATTATACTGTTGGAATAATATTATTGTTATGTTCTTTATTAATTCTTAGTGGAATACTTTTACTTATGGTTAAATTATTAAAATCAATAATTGTTGGTGTTATTGATGATACATTAAAAAAAATTCTTAATATTCAATCTCATGGATGGAAAGAATATTTACTTGGTTATGTTTTTATTATTGTTGGTATTATTGGAACAATACTTGTTCAAAGTAGTAGTATGTATTTCAATAAATATTTATTGAATTAAATATTTGAGAAATTGAGAGTTAAACTAATAGATTTAACGACTACGCAAGATTGAAGAAGACGAGGTCTTTACGATGTTCAGTTTGCAGTAGAGTTGAAACATACTATGATTATTAGACTATGCCACTACGATAAGTTGTTTAATACTTTTGCTAAAATGATAAAACAGTTCATTCTATTGTCGGGTGGTGCTTAATAAATGGGACAATATTTGTCTCGCTTTTTAGAGTAATTCCGAGCACACTCGAAACTTTATTTTATACTTATTTGATAGAGAATTTCCTGCTACGGAAAACTACCGCCTTTATTTTTCGAGTAACTTCTTTTTTCTTAGCGTAAAATTTAAAAGATGAACATTTATTCAATCATCTAATGGCGATTTTCGACTTTCTGCAAGCATATATGGATTTGTATAAGCTTTTGAACCAACGCCTGGTGTGATTTTGAGACCATGTTTTTCAAAGCGAACGTTGATCTATGACGTGCTTATTCTCATGTTATAGATTGTAAAATATAATCTGTAGTATTGAATACCGAACATCTTATTCATGTTAATTATGCTTTAACATCGGAATATATATTCTTTATCGAATCCGACAGTTTTTTGATGAAATATAACTGGATCGAACCGTTGAATTCTTCATTTTAAGAACAGTTCAGTAACAAACAAAATACGCATTTTATGGATTACAAGCAAAACAGAGTTTATTTGCAGGCTTATAGTTTTTTTTTAATATAATAACT